ATCCTGCAGGGTTCGCCTCAGCTCCCGTTCACGGGGTGTGGTGGCTGCAATAGTTCCTTTCCGCTCAACAGTCCGCTTGCTGCGTCGTTTGTTCTTGTGGGCCGTTTTGGTTTGTTGTTTTCCTCCTCTCTGCCGGTCGGAGAGTCTGCCTTTTCTTTCTTATGGAATTTAGTCTTTGGGATTTTCTAATTTTAAGTTAGAGAGTATATGAAGTGTACCTATGATAATAAACTTTTGGAGAATAGGAATTTTAAAAACTGCAATTAAAATGTATAACTTAGTTATTGCTTACTATTGTAAAAGAGCAATCAAGCTTTGATTCAAAAGAATATCACTAAGTGTGAGGTAGGATTATAAAGCAGTGGGCTTATTTACAAGCCTTGTAGGAAAATTGGTTTCATTATGGAGATACACATGTTGAACACAGGCAGTGGACATTTTTTCCTCCCGACACTATACTTACAGACCATCTAGCTTGTACAAATTACAATAGCATTACCTTCACCAGCACCTCTGGCAAATCTGAGTGGATAGTAGTACACAGTAGATCTGGATATTAGCATATATACTACTCAAGAAATTCCTCATAGTTCATATATTTTTGCAGTCAATTCCTCATAATGAGGATTTTCCTAGCGCCAATTATCATATTCTGGAATTCCTTTAAAATGTGTATTTCCTCTAGCTCATCACTAAGTAAGTGTTACACAAGTTTAAATGAAATACCTTGATCTCTAATGTCTAAAAAGGTACACCACGTGCTTTAGGTCCCTAAATTTCAGAGGATTCTGCAGGCAATGTAAATAAAGGTATTTTCTTCGTTTCTTGATTTTTGGTGAAGCAAGAGATTGCTGCTGCTATTTGTGCCATCCATGCTTTCTGTTTAAGAGAGGGGGAGAGAATGTTAAGCAAACAATTTCTCACGTATTTGGATTAATATTCCATAGTATTTATAGATGTGCTCTTTAAAACTGAAAACTAATGCAGCATTTGCATACATTCCCCATTTTTTTAACTCTTAATATATCATAAATATCTCTAATCATATATGAAAATGAAAATGCATTAGAAGAGTATGGTGTGCAAGTTGGATAAACAGTCATGAGTAATCAAGGAACTGTAAGAGTCAATGATGACAAATTAGAAAAATGAGCATGGAGAATATAAATGGTTTGAGTTGAATTTCTACTCTATGGTAATTCTTAACCAGTGGTATAATTTGAAAAACAGACTGAGGAAGGTGACTGAAGAAATTGAATCCTTAAGAATAGGGCTGAATAGGAATTCAAGGCATGGTGCCAGATCCTCTGCCACTTACATCACTCAAGCTTCCAGCCTTTTAATTTGAACATCTGTCAAATGGTTCCATGAAAGTTGGTCTTAGGTCTTCTGGGCTCAGATCTATGCCCTAAACCTGATGTCAGGTTGTCTTTGCCTTAACACCCTGGATATTAATGACTATGCTTTATAATAAACAAAGAAGCCACCACTGGAAAAAAATAAAAATAAAAAGAATAGGGCAACATTGCATTTATTGTCTGGCCACGTTGTTGGTATGATGAAAGACAAATGTGAAAACTTCTAAGAGAAATCAGTGCCAGGTGGCTTCTCTACCACCCATGGCTGTATAAATAGTGGCATATTTTCAAAGGTTGAAGAGCAGGCTCGACATGGCTCATTATAGTAGCCTCTCACTTAAGTATGACATCATATTATTTGCATGGTGGCACCTAGGACGTTGATTGGAACATCTTAAAAGTCAATCATGCAATCCAAAGTAGTTCTTGCCCATTTCTTACAGAAACTGCAGAACTCAGAGGAGGCTCTTGAGCTTCTGCTGCAGGAGAAAATGTAGGGGACTGTATCTACTCCGTGTGTGAGGTATTCTTCCACTCTGAGGTATTCTTCTGCACATGGTAAGGACTGGATCCCTCCCTCCTCTCTTCCCAACTCTCCCCTTCCCAAAAGAGGGAACTATGCAAAGCTTTCCATTCACCATTACTTAAGAGGCAGGGGTGAAGTTTTTTAATGTCAGTTCTGAAGAATGAAAGGCTTATAAAATCAGAATACATACTTTAATGTTTTCCGTTTGGGCTTGTAATAAGAATGCTGCTATACACTGTCGATATCTGTTTTCATGTTGTATAAGGAAAGCATTTCTCAGTCCAAAGACTAGAAAAAAATTACAGAGACAAACAAAAACCAACTTTGTCATTTAACATGAAATCTGAACAATTTCTTAATACAAAAACCTGGATATTTTTTAGTGAAGTTGGAAGGTTTATGTATATTACAAGGAAAAAAAAAATCTTACTCCCAAACCCAGACTGCAGTATTCTGTCCAAATAGGATCACTGAAGTATGAAAACTCTTAGCTAAGACTTTAGGAGCTTGATGCAATGCAATCATGGTTTAAATGATGGAAAATAGGCTCTTCAGAGTAGAAACTTAGCATATTAGTTGGGCTTTGTGTAAAATATAGATAACAAAATACTGAAAACAAAGTAATTATTGCTTTTTCTCTAAAAATAAAATTTATTTTTGAATGTAAGGGGAAGTCACATCAAAACAGGAATTATAAACCAGTAAAGATAAGATGTGGCAAAAATACAAAACCACCTGAATGCTTTAAGCAGGCCAAGAAAAGCCAAAAAGTTGACTCACATAAATAAAAAAATTCACCAAATTATGTGAAATATGTAGCAAATCAAACTGTAAAGAAATGTTGGCAGAGTTTCTCTGCTTGCAAAAGAAAGTCTATTCTGTCACTTGTAGCTGGTCTCTATATAGCAGAAGTTTCTAAAGTGGAGTTTCTTCCTTGAATTATTAATACAACATAGGAAATAAAATTCTGCAGCCTATAGATTCTTTCTACTGTTGATTTTATGTTTAGGAGCAAACAAGCAAAAATAAACCAGGGTAGTCTCCTCACCATATCAAATACTTCAGAGAGGAGAAGAATGGCAACTTGTATTCTTGGCTTATCATTGAGTTGATGCTTGTCCACTCTCATTATTTCTGTTCTTTGAAGTTTATGGGTTTAACTCAAGACTCACTGAGGCAGGCTGGGCCTCATTTTGAGAATCAAAGTGTATGTGAGACTTTTATTTTGTTAACTGCAATGATTATTCCAACATCACAGGTTATATTCTTAACAGTCCTTCGACCTCATAATTTCTAAATTCTATAACAAATAACATCTGTTAAGTCATGAAGTTCTGTCCAGATTCTCTGGAGTAAAAGGACTTAAACCAATTAAAAAATGACTTTGTGGGGGGGAAACTCTGCTTGTGTTTGTTTTACTCCCTGATTTTTTTTATAAATAAATTCCCTGTAGCAAGTGAGGCTTAAAAAATCAGGCTGTTGTTCTTGGCTGGGGTTTGGAATCCCTTTTCCTGAAAAATTGTTAACTCTTGTTTTCAGTTATTCAGGCATCTTTCATTGACTTGGTTTATAATATGAATCAAGGGATGTTACAGCTAAAAGGAAGTATTAGTAAGGAGATAATAAATGGTCAGGAGCAGCTCTAAAATAATTAACATGGTAATAATTGACACCATTTATGAAACACTATGTACTGAACACTGTACAATGATTTTCTTTTTCACCCTTTGCTCTTTGTCACACTGTAGCTAGTCTGCCTCATTCTTTGCATCTGAACAGTCAAAATAATAGACTGGAGGAATAGAAAAATACAAAAACCCAGAAAGGAGATGGTAGTGACACATCAGAAGGTGATCAATATGCTAGAAATATAGTTTGCAAAGCACTTTTATTTAAAAGCATAGAAGGGAATATAAGAGAAAAACATGCGTCTCCCAAGGTAATGCACTGACATCAGATTTCCCATGAGTCCTTATCACTGGCAGGGCTGTGCTAACCTGAGGCCACAGCCCAAGCTGCTTCCACTCTTCCCCATGCATGTTCTGACAGCTTCCTCCCTCAAGTCCACTTACTGCGTCAGTGTCATTTCACCATGACCTCAGAAGTGAGAGGAGAAATTCCTGGCCTAGGATGCCCTCTGCATGACATTTCTCTTCATGAAAAGATAAACTAAACAAAGGAAGTGATTTCTAGCCTTATATGGGAAGCCTCGCTGTGTCTACCTGATGCCATCCGCAGAGCCAGGGGAGCTCTCCCTGATGGGGTACACTCATAGGCAAACGTTTGCACCCCCAAGGTGCCCCTTTTGTAGGTTTGCTCTAGAAATCCTCTCTTGACTTATGCAGACTTTGCCTATATGGGCCTTGCCTGGTCCAGTCAAAGTAGATACAAAGAAGCCTATAGCTTGTCCAGGTCACTTCTGGGTGCAGTTTTTCTGTTGGTGGAGACTTTCTGCTTCCATTCACGAGTTAACATATATAAAACCTTTAAATAGACAATGTGAATACATAACATAACTGTAATTATTTGCTGTTGTTCATGTTTGTTTCTTCATGTATTCACTGAGGGTCACGCAACTGTGATAGGGCCATCCCTGCCCGTCACTGGAGCTCTGGACTTGGCTGCTGGGTTGTGAGTTGAAGGCAGCGGGAAGTGCACCCTCTCTTCCTGCTCCTCTGATGGAGCAGGAAGGCAATTCCCTGAGGCCTCGCTTCTGAAGGCCTCCTGTGAGCCCATACCTCAGGCAGAAGGGCCATCTGCTTCCTCCTGCACGCTGCTGCCACCCACCCAGAATGTCCTTCCAGTCCCTCAGAGCCCCAGGACGTTCCTGACAGAGGACTGACTGACAATTCAGTTCCCAGAGAGCAAGACTTTGTGTCTCCAGGACACTCAGAGTGCCTGTATCTCAGGGAACACTTAGGAAATACTTGAATAGAAGAATGAAATGAAAGCTATTTCTGCCCTCTGCACATGATAAATACATAAAACGGAATTTATATATTTATATATGTAATATGTATATTTCTGGCATATATCTTTCTATAGAGTGTAGTAAAACATCTTAGGCCTGAACAGCACATCTGATGTGCCTGTGCTTGAACAGTAGCAGCAGTACTACTTCTAATAACTGTTCATTATTTTATTTCATTCTTGTGACAGCCCAGTGAGATACTATTATCCCTATTTTAGCAAGAGGAATCGTTGCTTAGAAAATTTGTTGCTTAGAAAATTTAAGTGTGTCACTTATGCACATAGCAAGCGGCAGAGCTGATCACCCAGTCGCTGGAAGCCAAGTTGAACACTCTCTTTGTAACTAATTGGTAGAATGAGCAATATACAGACACAAAGGAACCCAGTATTGCTTTTTATGAAGATGTAAATTGGATTCATGTCCTGTTAACAAAAAAAGCCAACATCGAACTGTGAAATGACAAACAGATAACCTGAATGATGGAAGTGGACACATACCTGACACGTGGAGGGGATCAATACTTCTGACCAGCACTCTGTCCAGAGGGATGGGCTGATCGAGCACTGTGCATGAACCGCCCTCTTTTATTATTGTTTGCAACTCAGGAGTAAGTGAAGGCATATTAAACCAGGGTCTGAGCCTCCAGGTTTCTGAAATTAAAGGGGACAATAAGGCAGTAAATAGAAAATCAGTGTTGGTGTGCATCCCTGAAGTATGTTAAAGTATGTACACACTTGAAGCAAATTGATTTCTAGAAATAATTGGTTAAAATCCATCCTACTATTCTTTATGGATTGATTTATTTTTTGTTGCGGTAATACCGATTTACAACATGATATGATTTAGACATATAGTTTCACACCTCTCCAGATGGAGGCTGCCATCCATTCTTTATGGATTTTGAAAAGCATTTCCTCTAAGTACATCATGATTTATAGTGCTTCTGATTCTCAGGTTTAGATATCTGACTAAATAATGGTGATGTCCATAATAGGAAACATTTTAATCACCATCATATCAATGGGAAGTTCTTCATTTCTAGTATCTCTCTAAATACAGAAAGGGGAGCCTCATTTTAGCCAGCTTAGTCCATTGGATCTAATATTAACTAAGTAGATAATTTAGTAATTTGTACATATAATTAAAATTGCTTGAAATATATAGGATGCTGGGGTTTTTTTTTACACAAGAGTGCGAAAGAATGTGATTTGCATGACCTATATTGTACATTTAATAGCAAAGTGAAACTAAAATTGTAAAATATCTTGATTCTAAGTATTTGTATTTTACAATGAAGTTGTGAAGCATGAAAGCAGAATATTACCCTCTATATAGTTGATATAAGCTGCCATTAATTCATATATTTTATTTGAGCCATTATTTGATGTTAGATAGGCTGTGCTAAGCATCAAGGTTTTTGAAGGGGCTGGAGATTTTTTCAGGCTTGACTTGTTCAGACATTTTAGTCTGGATACCTTTAAATAGGAAGTCACACAAATCTCAAAAATGGTGACTCAGTATTCTGCAGTACCTACTCCTTTCTCAATCACCAATCAATTATTCAAAGATTGACTAATGGGAACTTCAAGATCCTTAAATTATTTAGCTCAACTAACCAACATGCCATATAGAAGCTTCAATTATTACAAGATAGGTGATACCCAGTCTCAGGATCTCATATCTGTGGAAGGCTAGTAAAGAAGTGAATGGAATGAAACAGCATTAGGTATGTCTGCTGGCTTAAGACACATTGCAGCCCTTCCTTCCACCCCTAAGGGCAGGTATCCTACAGCCTTGGAGGTGACCGCCTTCCTGAGACCACTCACACACACCATTCAGGAGACAGAGGAGGGAAGAAGGAGAGATTAGATACAAAGTCTTTAGTGGACATAGACCCAAGGCCCATTGGGTGGTAATAACAGTAATGGAAGCCATGCCACTCAGGTCATGGGAAAACTCCTCTTCTCAGAGGGATTTGGTGGCTTTAGCCTCTAAGTGACTTATTTTGTCTGGGACAGCAGTTGTACGTTTGTTTGGGTTGTGCAGTTTTATAGATAGGTAGGCACTGAGAGTCTGGGGCTCCCTCCATCCCGGCCTTCGAATCATTTCTCATACGGGGCATGGATACTGCCTGGGCATGTGGTCATAGACAGTTTAGAGAGGATCCTTACCAGGGCAGCTTTTGTGACAGTGGACAATTTGAGAGAGAAAAGGACCGATGCACACAGATTATTTTGGTTTTGTTTATTTCGGCAGGTCAGGCTTAAAGCCCTGTGGCTTCTGGAAGATACCTTGAAAACACACAGACTAAGTTATTCTGAAAATCCTCCCTTCCTTTGAGATCCTTAAGGACTGTCTTGCCCTTGTGGTTTCTCAGTGCAGAAAGAGATGACTAAGAGCCATCATTTCATTATGTCTACATTTTCAGAGGTGACATACAAGTTGATGTTAAAAATCTTTAACATTTTTAACAACCTATTTGGAATATTTCTAAACTTATTTAGAAATAGCAGCATGTTACCTTCTTGTTGCGCTTGGTTTTTGTAACTAAGAGGAAATCATCAAAGAGGAACAGATAAACATCTAGGGATCTTGTGTTTTCTGAGGAAAGAAAGAAGGTGAAATTGGAACTGGCAAGAGTAAGCAGAAATTATTATTATTATTTTTTTTTAGAAATCATTTTTTTTTTTTTTTTTTTTTTTTTTATAGAGGCATGCTTTATTTATTTGTTGCTGTTTGTTTGTTTTGTTTATACATGCCTGGGTACAGTCAGAAGCGCGAGAGGGTGAGAGAATTCACCAGAGCCAGAGCGGGGAGCAGAGCAGGCAGAAGGACCGAAGTACACTGCTGAGGGAGCAGCGGGCGGCAGGAGAAGTCTGCACGCCATGTGGGACCCTCCTCCGGTGGCCGGGGAGCAGCCGGGATCGAACCGGCGCCGCAGAGGCCGCGGGCAGCTTCGCAACCCAGCGCTCAACCGCTGCGCCACCGGGGAGGCCCTAGAAATCATTTTTTAAGCCAAAGAGTTCCTAGACTTTATTCTCAGCAAGGATAAGTATTCTAGCTACCGTTCACTGAGGGCCAAGTTTTCCACTGAGCAGTCAATATTGGCCACCAACTATGCATCAGTGATTAAGTTATAATCTCTGCCTTCAAGTAGTTTTAATTCTGGTGAAAACAGACACACAATAAACTTGTAAACAACCTGTAAAATGGGTAAATTCAGGAACTGACTGTTACAAGGTAAGTATGGCAATATGAAGGAAAATGACTCAAAAGGACAAATGTGAGCCCAAAGTCAGTCCTTTCCCATGTATTGCTGCAGGCATTTGAAGGTATCACAGTCCAGTAAAATAACTAGTACCAAATAATTTCATTAGACTTAACTAATCATCACTGTGAAATGGAAATTCTGCTTAGTAAGTGTTCCACAACCACATCCGAGACTTACACATTTTTGCAACTCTAAACTAGGCCTTTATTTTTTCTCAGAGTCTGGATGATAGTGTCTCATTCCTCTGTTAGAGGATGGGGCAGCATTGCTAACTATTTAAATACAGTTCTGCAGCAATTTAAAAAACACGTATTCTTTAGGTGCTTCAGCTGTTTGACCATTATATTTGTCTATTAGACAAATATTTTCTAGCTAGAAATACCAGTCTTTGGGGTGCCTCCCTGGTGGTGCAAGGGGTTAAGACTCAGCACTGTGAAGCTATCAGCAGCCACTGCAGCATGAGTTCGATCCCTGGCCAGGGAGCTACCCACATGGCGCAGCAGACCTCTCCTGTCTATCCTGCTGCTCCCCTCAGCTGGGTATTTCAGAAGATTCACCTGTTCTGCTCCCCACTCTGTCTCTGGTGAATCCTCTCACACACACACACCCCCAACACCTCTGGCCTGCAACCCAGCTCTTGTACATATAAATAAATCTTTTTTAAAAAAAGAAAGACCAATCTTTGGGGAGAGATGCATTAGTGAAGGGTATGCCAACATGAAATATAATATATAATGGGAAATTGGTTATGCTCCAAAAATTATGACGACTTGCATATTTTGGGAATGAGAAAGTATACTTATTTGGTTCCAATACCAGTTTTTAAGGTTGGAAGAAATTTTGAAATACAACATATTAGTGTTAAGTATCATCGTCATCCACCAACAACATTTACAGAAGAGAGTAGGGAATTTAAACAATTTTGCTAATGATTATTATTGGTGCTGGATCCCTGATTCTCAATCCAAAGCTTTTTCTATTCAATATGATGTCTCGCTAATTCTAACACTGTACCCTATCCCATCTCTCTGCCAATTCTAAGTCAGAGTCCCAGTGACTTCGATTTGTTTTGATATTATTATGTGGTGCTTCCATCTGATGGAATTTGACTAGCACCGTGTGCAAGTGCCTGATGTTAGTGACACTTACATTGGGTCATCCACACTCTACCACATTCCAGTCTACTAGAAATATTTTCTGGAAAATGGGTTTGAACTGTAAAGTGACATTCTTCAGTGAGTCTCCCACCTGTGCTTCCTTCCAAGAACCCTGATTCTACGTGACGTGTGATGCACATCTGACAACACTGTTCATGGAGAGAAGGTCCTTGTCTTCATCTGTAACTGGTGGTTAAAGGCAAAGACTGTTACTGGTGGTGCCCCCTGGAAGGGGGTGCTGATGACGATGGATAAGCCCAGGGAAAATGCAAACAAATTATTGCATTTGGGGTGGAGACTCTGATAAGAAATAAAAGCAACTGCAGCAGCAGCCCCCAGCATGCAGTGTTCGGGATTCAGCGATCGACCATTCAGCTTTTGGATTTCAGGATTTTCAGATTATCAGCGATTTTTGCCCCTACCATACTAATCTTCCAGAAGGCTGTTGTGGGCCTCTGAAGGACATGGCGAGGCCTCCAGTAGCCAGTCTCAGAGAGGAAAAGTTCAGAGGTTTTGCAAGCAGCTGAACGACTGAAACTGTTCCCAGTTTTGCTACTGTTACAGGCAGCAAGGAAGGTGAAGACCTGCAGCTGGTGCCTCGCTGAGCTGGTGAGTGTAGCTGTTTGTCCGGTCGTTTGGCTGCTGCAGCTGCTGTTTTGCATGTCACTTGTCTGGTGCTGTGCTGGGGCATCTTGGCAGCTCTGGTGAGCCTCTCCTATTGTGTCTCCTGCTGTCTTCATTAGTTGGAACCCGCCTATAGTCTGGCTGCCACATGCTCCAGGTTGACAGTGGCAGAAAAATGCCATCTTGAGAGAGTGACCTGCATCCTCAGTGGCAGGAAGATGCCATCTTGGGTGTGTTTGTGTTTAGGACTTTGAAACACTGGACACTGCTTCAGGCGAGGTAAACAGCCATTTTTGGCCTCAGCAACTCTTTCTTTTCCCCCTTTTTTGTTAAAGAAATCCCAATATTGTTCTCTGAACCTGAGTAGTCTTGCAATTGTACAAATGGGTGAAGAACTCAGATGGTGTCCCAGTAAACTATTTGGGCAGTGTCACTGGCCATTTTTAGTGCCCTGGCTGCCCTGTATCACTATCACATCCAGCTTCCACAGGGTCTCTCATCCTTTTCACTCCTGAACTCTAAAACTGACTCCCTCACCCTCTTCTTTTGCCACCCTCAGTGTTATCAACCAACCTTTCAAGCACATACATGAGAACACTTGATGCCATCTTCAACTCACTTCTTCTTCATCCATTTTATCAGTCACAGAGCCCTCCTGTTTTCCCTTTGAAATAGCTCTCACATTAATCCTTTTCCTTCCATCCCTGTCTAACACTTTAGGATATGTCAGTGTATCTCATAAGCTGGGGAGTTGGTAGATAGAGGGTAGGAGTGAATGAATCAAAATCTTGCTAATTCCAGGTGAGGTGATATTAGAGGGAAAGACACAATACCAGGCTGTATTTTCCTTCATCACTTTGATTTCACTTTGTTACAATCATCATTATTTTGAAATCGTAAATGACATCAAATAAAAATTTTGTTATCTTTCTAAATGAAAGTGGGAGGAGGGTAGTCTATAGTTTGAGAGTGGTTGAGAAACAGGCCAAGCTCTTCCCCCTGCCAGGTGGGGAGGTTGCTGTCATGGCCCGAGATCACACAGTGGAACAGGCAGAGCCAGAAGTGTCCCTGGCAGCCAGTCTCCTGACCACATTGCTAGAGCCTGTCCTCTCAGGGGCTTCTGCCTCCAAGCCTCTCCTCCTGCTGTGCTCTTCATGCAGGATGCTCTGCCTCCTGGCCTTCCACTGACCTCCATCCACCCTTTCTAGCCTCCCAAGTCCATCTCCAGTCCTGGGGGCTGTGTCTGAACTTATACTGCAATTCTGCTCACTGGTAGGGCCTCTGAACTACAGGGAAGGGCTCAGACAGAAGCATGTTCTATCCTTAACAGATGCTGCCTAGGACCACATGTGTCACGTAAACATGTTCCCTGTATGGCTGCTCGGCTCGTTGAGGAGTAACATGATGATAATAGCTACCATTGTGTGTCCACTATACTCCAGACCTTGAGTTAACTATCGATGTATGTCATTTAATTTTAACAACTTATGTGATAGATATAATTACCCATTTACAGAGAGAAAATGGAGCGCAGTACAAGTTACAGTGTGAATTATTTTACCAGGCATAATTTTTTAACTCCAAGCTCTTTGATTTACATCTTTTGGTGCTTTGCTTATAGGCAAATACAATATCTTCCACCCATCAACTAGCAGCAATGGGACAGCTTTACAGAGCAGTAAAGCTATTGGTTCTATTACTATTATTAATATTGAGGTAACTTTAACTTACAGTACTGTATATGATTTAGGAGTACAAGTTTACACCTCTTCAAGTGTATGTTGTCACACACATATGCCCACCACCCAAGTGACAATGACCTTATCACCATTCAGTGGAGCCCCTCCCCCACCCGTTGGCTGCCACCCTCAGCACCCAAGATGTTGAATTTTTAAAAGAAGCAGTTATTTACCTGCGAGAGTTAATTTTCCCTCATAGAGAAGGTGTCTGTTGGTTGGTGACAAGATATTTTCTGCCGTGTGTTCTTTAAAATGTGTTTCAGGCCCTTTCAAAACAGGGTTGAAAATCAAAGAGATGTTCTTAGTCATTTGAACAGAACATGTTCCAGGAGCTGGGCTAATACACACCATCTAGAAAGTGTGTGACATCGTGAGTAGGTGGACCCGGGAGTGAGGAAGGATAGGAGAACTTCTCAGAGGCAACCCCCTGAGGATGCACAGGGATGTCAGCCTCCCACACAAAATGCCACATTTCTTCAAGGTTTTACTTCTTGCTTATAAAAATAGATTAATTATTCAAGTGGGCAGCTGATGTATTATAGGGCTGATGTATTTCCACCTGAACACCAAAGATTTAGAAAGGGGCAGAAATGTACCTCTGGGATGAAAAACCTTTTATCTCTGTCCCAAAGTGGAGGCCACACTATAATCTCCTGTAGATGTCTACATTTTTGGAAATTGTCAAGCCACTTCACCTTTCCTTCAAGATCCCCTGAAAGACAAGATACACCCAAAACATATTTAGATGCATGTGACATTACAGCATAAATTTTAACCAAGATCTACAGAAATCATTTAGAGACATTGATTGCCTGGGAGCCAAACCATGCTCTTAGGTTCATTTAACATATTGCTTGCTGTTTAAATGTCTTAGAAAAACTCACTCATTTGAAGTCAGCCTTTTGCAGAGAAAAATGAAGCTTAAATTACTCAGTAAATTGTAAATGTATGGTGCATTTTTTATTTCAATAACATTAATAAAGTCCTTGATAGCCTTATTTTTTACACCACACAGCTTATAATTAGAGGAAGGAAAAAAAAAAGCATATGAATGAGGATAAATGTATCTTTTTGTCCTAATCATAAGGGCTTTATGAAAGGGCTTCGTGGTGAGGATGATTATTTCTTTCTGGTAGGGACACTTTTTCTCTTTTGAAGACTTGCATTAATTTTCCATTATTTTTAATAGCATATTGCTATGGAGATTTTGAAGTGATTTTTGGAAACAAGACGGGCAAGTCATTGATGCAGAAGATCACACAGTTAGTGGAATCCTTGAGGACCTATCATCGCTAATTCCATAGACTTAAAAGCAGGCCACAGGAATCTCTGCCTCAAAATGAAAAATCCATATTTTACTGAGAAATCTCCAAAAGAGAAGCTGTTATCATCCTTATCTGCCTATCAAAATAATAATCATCTTCAAAATTACTTTTTCAGTTAATTTTTTAAAAAGCATGTCTTTCTAAATTGAATTTTTCTCTAACTCACTTGATAAACATAATTCCAATTCCTTGGGTCCTTTTAAAATTTGAACCAGGGGGCCTCCCTGGTGGCACAAGGGGTTGGACACCGCATTATGGAGCAGTCTGCAGCCTCTGCACCTTGAGTTCGATCCCTGGCCAGCCAGGGAGCAGCCCACATGGCGCAGCAGACCTCTTCTGTCTCGCCTGCTGCTCCCCTCAACAGTGTGTTTCGGTCAGTCTGCCTATTCTGTTCCCTGCTCTCTCTCTGGTGAATCCTCTCACCCCCCTCATCTGTGGCCTGTGGCCCAGCTCTTGTATACATAAATAAATCAATCTTTAAAAAAAATAAAATTAAATTAAACCAGGGCCACCCTGGTGGCGCACAGGTTAAAGACAGTGCTATCAAGCTATCACTGGCCATTGCAGCATGAGCTCGATCCTGGCCAGCCAGGGAGCAACCCACATGGCACAGCAGACCTCTCCTATCTCGCCTGCTACTCCCCCTCAGCAGTGTATTTCACTAGATCTGCCTGTTCTGCTCCCCACTCTGTCTCGGGTGAATCCTCTCACCCCCACACCTCTGCCTTATACCCCAGTTCTTGTATGCATAAATAAATAAATCTTTAAAAAAAAATTTGAACCAAAAAATGACAAAGAGGAAAGAAACTCCCAGTTGAATGGTCAGTTTACTTTTAAGCTTGTGAAAGAAAAAAGATAGATTTCTGTACAGTTGGCCATCATCAATTTGGATTGTCCTCTTTGATGCTTCCCCAGGAAATCTTGGTTTACAGGCATAGATCATGTCTTCTGTATTTGAATTTAGTTATATAGAACTCCATAAATCAACTTCAGTCATCATAGGGCTTGCTCTGCACCCAATCTCAAATTTTGGTTCTAAAGATGTTGGCATTATTTTTAGATTGGCCCTGGATTTCAGTGACCTAAAAAAAAATGATGAATGGTAATTTATCCTCCGGAAGGACTTCCCGTGGTGTTTACTCCCACTTGCTTTGTGTGTGGGTTCAGTATGGATGTTAAAACAAAGTGCCTTCAATCATCTGGGAAGTAGGACTTTTCCTGCCTGAACTCACTTCTGAAAGCCTTCAAGACAGAGCCATGTCCTGAGTAAACTTAGTGCTAAGGTCTCAAGGGTTTGCCAGGATGTGACTGGAGCCCATTGTTTTGGGTGTTTGATTTACAATGCGCACAAACTCGAATCCACGTTTCCAAGAGCCATGACCTCAAGTCAATGGAATGACCTTCTAGAATGGAAGCCCAGATGGTTCCCAGGAGCTATACTCCTCCCCACCCCCCCAACTCTTTGATTAAGCTTGGCCTGAGCTCTGCATTATTCATCCCAGGGACTTACGAATTGACTTTTCCACCTTGTCTTTGAGGGAGTAGATCATGATTTTCTCCGTGGAATCTGTACTCCTTTTCCAGATATTCTTCAGCAACAAGGGATATCGAGTCAACCGGTGTAATGGGGCCACTAATAGCTCAGGCAGGTGAAGCCGTTTGCACTGTTCATTTTGTTCACACCACTGGGGAAGTCAAAAGCAGACATATCAGAACATCCTTTGGCCACTCAAACGCTGAGAAGTTGGATTATGAGAAGCCCTCAGTGATTTTACTCTTATCAATCACATGATGCACCTGTGACCTTGCTGAGAAAAGTCATAAACCACAGATTAGACTTTGATTTTGAAAGCTCCATATTAAAAGACCTTTTCCACTTTCCCACATGCAGCCAGAGCGTGGTGGGTGGAGCACTATGATGCAGGTTTCAGGGCTTGTTGAGATCCCTTCTCTATACTCAGATGCCTTTCTGTAAAATGGCGGAAGGTACTAAATGACCTCTAAGTTCTCATCCACCTCAAAATAATTGTGATTCTTATTGGGGGTTGGAAGGGATAGAGAAGGAAGCAGGGACAAAGGTGTGGAAAGGCTAGAAGTGGTAATGAGTGGAAGGGAGAGGTGTGGAGAGGCCATAGTCAGTGGTCTTGGTGGCAGCAGCCTCTCCATTGGAGTGTCTGGGGAGCTCCAGTAACCGAGATCTCAGCACCAACTGGCATAGGGTAAATGTGGAAACACCCGGTATCAATCAGACAAGAAGCACAGTGCTAAACAATTTAGACCGAGATCTAGGCAGGGATTTTGGAAGGTTTTAATAAAATATCAGAGGACCTTAGAAGAGAGAAAAAGATAACTAACCATTCTAAAAGTAGCTAGAAGTTTTTCATTCCTCTGTCTATTTGCTTCACTTTTCAGGTCCATTAGGGTAGAAATGAACATCTTTCAGGAGAGGTCAGACATCAAAGGATTTTTCATGCATGGGTCTAGATCAGTGGGAGAGACTTTGGTTTTATAAAAAAAAAATAGTAAATGTGTTTAGGGGAACAGTGAAAAGAATTCAAAGTTTCAAATAAAAAAAGACATTCTCCTTATACATCTGTCTTGGTGGGAAAAAACCTTGGGCTGGGACAACATTCTTAGACTCTTGGGAAATTTCCTGAAGCCCACTACACCTCATGTGTGAAATGTAGATAACAAGAGTGACTAACTCATCAGGTTGGCAAGAGGTTTTAAGGAGGAGAATGAGTGTTGGCTTCAGACAGGTCTGAATTCCAATCCTGCCTCTTTTGGAAAGTTGCCTGATTTGTGTAAGCCGCTGACAAAGTGGAAAACTTCAGATCTCACAAGATGAGCGTGCAGACAAAGAGACGGCAGGTTTTGAGTACGCAGTACAGAGCAGGCTGTCAGGAGCAAGGGCTGGAGAACCTTTATGATCTGTGGGGCATTTTCTGCCAAAACCTCTCTTTGACTCTTGTTTCAGGAAGCTAACCATTCCCTGACAATGGAAACTAGCACTGAGGAGGTGAACATAGTTCTGATGTGAAAGCATTGTTTTTTTTTTTTTTAAAGATTCATCTATTTATGCATACAAGAACTGTGTTACAGGCCAGAGGTGTGGGGGGTAGGAGGATTCACCAGAGACAGAGTGGGGAACAGAACAGGCAGATTGACTGAAATACACTGCTGAGGGGAGCAGCAGGCGAGTCAGGAGAGGTCTGCTGCACCGTGTGGGTAGCACCCTGGCCGGGGTTCGAACTCGAGTTGCAGTGGCTGAGGACAGCTTCATAGGTTGTGTCTCAACCCCTTGTGCCACCAGACAGGCCCTGGGTTTTGTTTTTTTGCCCTAAAACTTTTATCTATGTTCTTCCCTTTCCACCTATTGATTATGTGACCTTGCAAAAGTCACTTAACCTCTCTGAGGCTCTGGGACACATGTGACCAATGTTATCAACCTCATAGGTTTGTGCTGAGAATAGATGTTTGAGAGAGTTCCTAGTAAAGCATTGTGCATGATAAACATCTCATCTGTTATCTTTACAACATTTCATTCTCTACTCCTTCTCCCTAAATACCTTTGGATTGATCTGTCTGTGTATGTACGAGTATCATCTTGTATACAAATATAGACAACCCTTCTATATTACCGTTGATGTGGGATTTTCCCATTGTTTGAAAATGGTGGCTAAGCTTTGTCAAAGTCATCAAGCCCTACCTTGGAAGAGAGTAAAATGGATCTGGATTCTCCCCAGTTTGGAGGCCAGGCTAGGAGTCTAATCTATCTTTTCAAAGAAAACTTCAGCAACATGATTATTCATATATTTGGAAATCTAATGAGCTTTCCAGCTTTAGTTTGAGTCAAGAAAACACCAAAAGGTGAAGTTATAAAAATAGGACTAAGGCTCTTTCCCAAGATCATTCATCCTTTCTCATCCACACCACACCCAGGTTTCCTGGCACATTTGGGCCAGGACACAAGTAGGTTGATTCACAGCTGAGTTGCTGGGAACTCTGACAGCCCTTCCTCCCGCACCTCTGAGCTGATGCCCTTGTAGGGACTTCTTGCAGATGCAGAAACAGCTAGTTTTCTGGAAAGGTTGGGTCATTTTCTCTGGATTTTACTTAAGGGTTCAGGCAAATATTGAAAAGTTACAGTTTAGACTAGGGAAATGTCAAAGGAGGGCTTGAATGTCAAGGGCAGTAATTTGCAGGTTTGCTTATTAGCAAATGCTGAGGGCACCTTGCAGGAATTTTCTAAGACTTTGAGATCCACAGTCACCACGTTGTTCAATGCCACGGATGCCTTTTACTTTATGATCTATGATATACTCTAGGGAGCACCATTCAATGTAAATGGTGCTCCTCGCTTGTGTGCAATAGAGTTTGCTAGGATCAAGTTCTTGAAGAGCCAAACTTCTAGTTATAAACAGAGCTTTGTTTCTTATTCTGGTTTTCTCCTTACCACATACTAATTTTTTCCACAAACAGACCAATGAACAAATAAAAGATTTTCAAGCTCCAACTATAGTTTTAAGAGGGATAGAAGGTGAGATATATCCAGATGTGCACCATTTAAAATTCCTCAGTGGACAGTGCATGATGTATTTAGGAGGACAGCATATTTGTATTTAAAATGGACTCATGATAATTTATATTTCCCCTTTCTTATTTAATTTGGGTATAAATTTTCTCCTGTTATCCAAAAGTAGAACATTCCTATGAAGTCTTTCCTAAATGGAAATGGGTATAAAGAAGAAATTACCATTAATTTGCATGAAAAATTTCCGGCCACCAAACTAACCTATTACATCATACTAATAGGTGGTAAAAGCAGGAATGATGACATAAATTCACAGCCTGTATAAAGTAACTCTTAGGGAAGGTTAGCTCAGGGTGTTCGCTGCTTCTAGAACAGCTGCTGCAAAACATATAATGAAAGCTATTTTCACTTAAATTGTCCGATTTGGATTTCTCTGGTTAATGAAAATAGATATTAGCATAGATCTTTCATAAAGGTGAATGGTATAATATGACTTTTGAAAAGCAGAGAATTACATGCTCCTGCTATACCCAAAGAATCCCAGGAAAGACATGAAAGAAAATGATACTTCACTTTTAAATAAATTCCAAAGTCATCTCTCTGCCTCAGGCTCTCCAGATAAAAGACAGCAGCTGAGTAATTCAGGCAGTAGGTCTGGTGGCTCTGACAGAGGCTCCCTCGGAAATACTGCAAAGGGATAGCAAGGGGAAAATCAACAGAAGTGCAGAGAAAACTGACCCTAGACAGCCTTCCCTTTCCTCTTGATTTTATCATTAACCAGAAATGGGAAAATTGGAGAATCTAATATTATCAAGTATGAGCTATGGATCAATAGAAACAGATAATCTTCACAATAAATATTCTTTTTAAAAAATATGGTGGGCCTCCCTGATGGAGCAAAGGGTTGAGCGCAGCACTGTGAGGAAATCTGGGGTCTCTGCAGCTCGAGTTCGATCCCCGGCTGGCCAGGGAGCAACCCACATGGCGCAGCAGACCTCTCCTGACTCGCCCACTGCTCCCCTCAGCAGTATACTTTGGTCAACCTGCTGGTTCTCTTCCCCACTCTGTCACTGGTGAATCCTCTCACACCCCCGCATCTCTGGCCTGTACCCCAGCTCTTGTATGAATAAATAAATTAATTAATTAAAAAAAATAAAAAATATGGCATTTTATCAGATAGTATCACTTATATATGGAATATAGATAAATGGTTTTTTGGCTTTTTTTAAGCATACTTATTTTATTTATTTTTTTTATATTCCCCATACAATTGCACCCCCCTTATTTTGACCCTAATCCCTCCTTTCCCCGCCTCCTCCCCCCATAGTGTGTCTCTGGTTCATTGTTTGTTGATTTTGATTTTTTCTTTCTTATAGTTATTCCTGGTCCCTTATTTAGGTTTTCTAGATTCCGGCTATGAGTGAGACCATCCGGTATTTTTCTTTTTCTTTCTGGCTTATTTTGCTGAGCATGATCCCTTCCAGCGCCATCCATGTTGCTGCAAGTTGCATGTGTTTATCTTTTTTGATTGCTGAGTAATGGAATATAGATAAATGAAACCAAACTAATAACAAACCCTAGAAATCTCAGCACAAAATGGGCCCAGTGGATGATCGTGGAGGACTGTGGGTGCCTTGGTTATGGGTATGGTGTGGTAACATACACCTGAGGCCTGTGATCCTGTATTTACAGTGCAATAAGCCAATGTTACCGCAATTAAAAAAAAAAGTAGTATTTTAACAATAAAAATAATAACCCCTTGAGTTAGCCCCTCAATAAATCACCTTCCCCATACTTAAAAATAACTCAATTTAGGACATCTTGATTTAATTCATCCTTTACTTCTGTATATACTTTGTTGAGGTCCATATTTCCTGCATAAAGCCTAGTGACAAATATTGCTCTTGATTTCTGAACTCATGTTGGTTGTTGTTAAGTCTGTGTTGGTGGTGGAGAAAGAGGACTCAGCCTAAGAAGCCACTAAAGGAAGTAACAATTGTCAAGGAAAATGAAAACCAAAAAAACTATTTCATTATAGGATCTCAGAGGACGAAATACTATGGGGAGAAATGTCAAATTTTGACATTTATCATTAAAATAATTTGGAAAGTGTTGTGTTTATTTCTGAGGGTTGGTGATATTGCAGATAATAGGGGAGAAAGGAGGACTTGGAGGTAAAGGGAGGATCCTCTTACAGGCTCCAAGACTATGAGAGGCTCATTACTAGGAGGCAAGTTTTTTTTTTAAATTTTCTTTATTTTTTAATTAATTAACATATATTTTACATCGTTGTTCATTTTTGTATAATGTTTGCTTTCTCCTCTCAGGTGTAGTTCCCATAAAATACCCACCACTAATTCACCTATGCACCATCACCATTGTTTTGAGGAGGCAATTTGAAGTCCATAAATGGTCAGGTTTAGAAACCCAGTTTTCCAACCTATTAGCTATGTGACGTTGGTCAAATTCTTTAACATCTTCAAGTCTGTTTCTTTTTCCTTGTCTTGCTCAGATGGCTCCCAAGTAAATACCATGGACCCCAACTTCCAATTGGTGAACCTCTTGTGAGATGGTATGTTCAACTATTACTGCTCATCTGTGCCCCCTTCCTCAGGAGGAGGAGATGTACTCTCTCCATTGAAGGTAAGCTTGGCCATGTGACTTTCTTTGGCTTGTAAAATATTAATGGATATGCCATGTATTGCTTCAGGCAGAAACTTAGAGTCAATGAGGGCTTTGGTCTGGTCGCTCATGTCTTTGTCAGGGCAACTGGAAATGTTCTAGATGGTGACTGCTCCCTCAGCATGGGTCCCCCAAGTGAGGACAGTGACAGAGTGGAAGCAAAGAGCATTAATGAGACATGAACCATACCACTGAGTTCTGGGGATTATTTGTTATTATGGCAAAATTGAATCTAATCTGACTAGAATTTTTTCAATTTAGAAAAAGTCTTTATAACTCACATTTGCGCACTTGAGCCAGTATGTAACTTTCTTATGTGGATTATATTAGGGACCTTTAATAAAGTCTGTCCACATCCCATGCTTTAGTAGGGTACAAGTGCACTTACGCTATGGTCTGAATGCTTGTGTTCCCCCAACTCCCCCAGATTCATGTGTTAATCTTAACCTTCAATATGATGGCATTAGGAGGTGGGATCTTTGGCAGGTGATTAGGTCAGGAGGTTAATGCTCTTCTCAGAGACTCAGAGAGCTCTTGGGCTCCTTCCACCATGTGAGAGGCATGTGTTTGTGACCCAGGAGAGGACAGTCACCTGATCTTGGAATCCACCTTTCAGAGATGTGAGAAATACAATATAAGCCACCCAGCCTGTGGTAATTTATTATAACAGTCTGAGAAGACAAAGACAATTTATGTGTTTTGATGAAAAGTTGGTATTTCTCCAGACTGTTTACCAAGAACTAAAAAAAAAAATTCTGACTCTATAGGAATAGGAGAGCTTGAGATTTTTACTAATTCCCAAATTTTTATATTCTTTCTCATGTTTTTCAGTTTTACTTATTCAAATCTGCTTTCAGTGTTCACTGGATCTATTACTTTGTTACTTATTTCTTGCTTTTTTACCTGTTCAACATTTCTCCTTTTTAACTCTTCCAAGCATCATTTCCCCTAGAAGAATTTCCTGTCTGTAAGCACTTCCCCATCCCCCTACTCTGAAAACTTTCCTTTATAATATCTATGTTTCTTTTTACCCTGGTGTTTATCTCAGTTTGGTTATTAATTATTGGTGTCATTATTGGATTAATTGTTCCCCTACTAGACTGAAAACTGCCCAAGAGCAGGGGATACATCTAATTTTGCACCTATTGTGCACAGGATGTCAACTCCACATCCTACATTTAGCAAGTGCTCAGTACATCCCACTCTGTTTTTCAGAATGGAATCTAAGATTTCAAATCTTGCTAAATGAGAATAGACAGGGACTGGATTAAAAGGTTCAAGGTAAAAAAGAGCGGAGGAGGTTCAAATATCCAGCGAACAAATAAAGCACAGTTATCAAATCGGGG